GCGCGCGAGAGAGAGAGAGAGAGAGAGAGAGAGGGGGTCACATCACAGTGGAGTCAGCTGTCTTAACCGTGTCTTGTGTACTGCAAACACATACCAGCTTCATCACTGTGTCTGTCACATTTATTTTGAAAGCTGAAGCTGGCGATGATGGTAAGGGGTGCTTGCGGTGTTCGGCCAATCACAATGCACTGGGTCAGCTGGCCAATCAGAGCAGACTTCGCTTGTCGGAAGGAGGGACTTTGTAGAAAACGAAGCGTTTGAGAGAGGCGGGGCATAGAGGACCTACAATAATGTACAGTATTTGAAAAATAATGTGGTTTTTTTTACATTAAAGCATGTCAACATATTCTGTTACACCAAATAGACAAAATAATTATCTTTAAAAAAGCATCATATGACCCCTTTAAACTATGATTTAAGAATAAAATAAAATAGAATAACATTTCCTATGGAAGTGTATTATTTACATGTTTTTATTCCTGCATCATTTGTAGGTCTAGTTGTCTTTGACAATCTAGCTGTCTTTTTTAACATCGTGATGTGATGGACTGTTTAGGGCCTCTCTTTCGTAACAAATAAATGGTCTTGTAGGTCATGAGGGTCACTGAAGACGGTCTAGATGTGTCTATTGATTTGTTGTCTGTTTTGTGCATGTGTGAGCAGCTTCCTTGTTATCCAGGCTGAATGCTGAAGAGACATCAGTGGCCGATCTGGCAGCCCATATTTGTAGGCCTTTTTGCAGCTCTTGTTCAATCAATCAGGTGATTTTTAATGGCTTTACATACTTTGGAGCAATAAATACATAAAATAAAATAAAATAAATAAATAAATAAAATTGTGCTTTTGCACTTCACTCTTTTGACACAGAAGTGCCCTTTTTTAGGTCTCCTTTTTCCTTTGGAAATAATCATTTTTCTAGAAATAATTAGCTTCTGATTGCGCTATGATGAGCATCCCCACCTCCGGAGCGACTGGTCCAAGCGCCATAAAAAAAAAATGCTTTTTGTACAGTGAGATAATATCTGTCCAAACAGATTAAGGATGTGTCCAAGCAGTATGTCCGCGTCTTCGGCGAGAGACCCTGTGCTCTAATTAAAGTCATATACTTTTGGAGAAGATGAGGTCTTTGCATAATTACATTACACAGCAGTGGCTGTTAATTTCTGATGCACTTTGAAATGCCAAGGCTCGAAGGAACATAATTAGAAATCGGAAGTTTTGTACCGATTTCTTTCAGTATCCATTACTTCATAGTCTTGCTTCAGTGTGTTGCCTCATTCCACTTGCTTTTGTTGACTTGGAGCATAATGTCATCATTCCTCCCATCAGTGTTCATTCTGTTTTCAGGGTGTCTAGGCTTTGAACTGCTGAATCTGAGCTTTCTCGTGTCCCTGTGGCATCCATCTGCCAGTAGACAACGTGGTGATAGTGCAGTCTTGCCTCTGGCTCCACGCACAGGAAGACTTTCAGTTCTCTATATCTGTCAGCCTTCCATCTATACGCTTTGATCATGCAGCTCTGGGATAGAGATTACTTCTCTGTTGAGGGGACACACAGTTCCTTGACTCATATGAAAAGAGTTAGAAGTTAAGGGTTTGGACATGCAGAAATACTAATGAACAATTAATGCTAATCTTGTGTCAATTTTTATTTATATCTAATGAATCTTGTTAGAAATGTCAGCTACCTTCCTCTGTCATGGTCAGTATAGACACAGTACAGTGGTTCTAAGGAGAATTTGGGCACTTAAGCTACTCTCAGATAATAAAATGTGAAACCAAGTGGCATTTATTTGGGGGGAAAAAGCTAGCACAAGCACAATTTTAAAGGAAAACATTTCACAAAAAAATTATGAGAGAAGATTTTAAATTATAAAACAATGGGTGTACTGTTCAAACTTAAGATAAAAATGAATGCTGGATGCTTTCTGGTTGTCAGATTTATCAGATTTTGCCCTAACCTGGCTCGACAAGACAGATCTGTCTGTCCACACGGAGCACAAAAATGCTGCATGTCACAACACAATCAGTCACAAATCACAGCCAATCAGAAGCGTTCTTGCTGTTTGCACAGCATGACATGTCTATATTTTAGGAACATGATCTTACAGTTAATCGCAGACCTCTTAGCTCCTCCTTTATTCAGCTTATCCGATAACAATTGTGTCACATCCAATGAGAACGAGTCATTGCTATTCGTTATTCTTGCCATCATTCACAGATGAAGACAGGAATTTTGAAGGCACAGAGATATCTACATAACACTATTCTTTTATCTGCCTTACAAGCCTGAGCAGGACCTGAGGGAACGAGATACTCGGTCTGATTTAACTCTTCTTTGTGGATGACACGGAGGAATCAGGTTGCAGAAAGTGTGTGAGACAGAGAAGGAATATTTTATTTAGCACTGTCACTTGCTGTTTCTACCTTAGGGAAGCTCAAACTTTGCTAACATCACACATGGTCAGATGTGTGAGATATGAGCATGTAAGTAACAAAGAAAGAGGTAGATGAAAACCGCAGCAGGTTTTCACAGCTCCTAAATTTTGGAAAACCAAAAATACTGATGACTCATCTTGCACTCAAGGTATTTGATTTTTTTCCCCAATCAGACTCTCTTGAATGAGAATGTCCCTCCTTCTAATACCATGTCACTTACAAGCAATAACAAGTAGCAACTTATGGATCACAGTTGTGATGTAAAAACTAATGAGCATTAAAAAGAGGGACAAACTCTTTGACGATTTACGGGGTGATTCAATAAATACTATATGAACACTCGTGTGACTTCATTTACCTACAGTGCTGTGAAAAAGAACACACCATGAAAAAAAGTTCAACATAACAGATATTGGATTAGCATTTCACAAGTGTCAACAGAGAAAAGGCTATATAATTTAACCAATTTTGTACAAACATTTTGTAATGATCTGTATATTGTTGAAAATGTTGGTACACTCTCATATTTATCAATGTAAAATTGATCATGTCTAAAATTAGAATCAGATGCATCAATTAGTAGAAGCAAGTGCAAATTGGTAGAATATCATTAACCCATTTAATCCCACCGGTCACAATTTTGACTACAATTTTTGCTCGCATATTTTTCTGTAGTATTAAAAAGCAACTCTTATTATGAAGCACATTTTCATATATAATGAAAATGTAAGATGTCTAGATGAGTTCAGGGCAGGTCTAACATGATTGGGTAGTTTGGCCATGTGACCATACACATTCATTTTCTGGTACTGCCATCTTAATGGAAGGATAGTGTCAAAGCTCAGAAACGAGAGGTAAGTTTTCCAAGTTAAACAATAAACAGTTACTCACACTTGTGTGGTGCGACATTACTGTCAGAACTAATATAGACGGTCTTTTAGTTTCAATCTTTCTAAAAATCCTGCGCCTAATTGTGCTTTGTAAATGAATCTGCGGTAAAATGAAGTGAACAAAGGACCAAGTTCTCACAGACGCGACACTGCACAGCGTCTTGTTGTCTTCAGAGCCATCTTTATTGTTTGATTTCTGCGTAGACCTGTGTTTGCCTCTCTTATTATTTACACTACATGCGCGAATCGGTGGGCGGGGCTAAACAGGCAGTGCTGTAGAAGCAGGCATTGATCTTCTTCTGCTGAGATGGTGTTTAGCCACACTATTACATCATAAAATGTCACATTCCACAATCAGTTGTTTTGGCAGATTGGCTTCAATATAAGCTGTTTTTAGACTAACGAGAAAGTTTTGAGTTCTGAAGCTTACAGGATGCTTTTATAGTACAATGACCTCTTACATGTCAAAAGATCAAGGGAATTTTGATTTCTCAGTTCATGACCTAAGGGATATAACACAAAAACGGAAATTATGTTATTTCCTCACCCTCCTATTGTTCCAAACCTGTACGGCTTTCACTCTTCTGGGGATCATAAAAGAAGATATTTTGAGAAATGTCAATACAATGGAAGTCATTGGTCACCAAAACTGTTTGGTTACAAACATTTTTTTTTTATATTTTCCTGTGTTTCATAATTTTCATTGTTATCTCTTTAACAATTACATGTTGTCAAAGATAACATTTTCCTGTAAAAATAAAAAAATTAAATGAAGGCAAATGCAATTTCATTTCAGTATACACAACAAAGAAAAGTGAGTGCAACACACCTGACAGAAACCTCAGTGACTATAACAAGTGGAGCAGCCAGTTACTGCCCTCTTTGCCACTCGTGGTGAGAGATTTGAGGGCAATGTTTCTTCCAGGCAAGCAGCCCAAGATTGAGAGCACACCGGAAAGGAGAGTCAAATGTGACTGCTCATTAGTTTGACTAGCCTCATGCAGGCAGGTAGAGCAGAGAGCTGGCCATTTTACTGAAGTTGATTCCCTGGGGGCAGAGCGATGCCAAGCTGTGGGAGAAATCCATGGTTCTGCAGGGTTGTGAAAGAACCCTGAAACTACATTTAAAGCTTGAACCATTCAATGTATGCTATATTTGCTGAAGTTTTTCTTAATTTTCATTCTATGCACAAGTTCCTTATTTATCCAGTTTTACAACTAAAGTTGATGTTTTTTTATTCATCACAGGAGCTATACCTACAATTTAAAAGAATAACTCAACCAAAACTAACAATTATGTCATTATTTACTCACCTTCATGTTATTCCAAACCTGTAAGCTCCTTTTTCTGTGGAAGACAACAGTTGAAGACAGTTGACTTTTAAGAATTAAACTCCTGCCCATATAACAACAGTTCTCATCTGTATGTGACTTCATTCTGTTGAACTCACTTAACTGCGTAGTCCTGTTGTTCATTTGTAAACCTAATATTGTCAAAATGTACAGATTGCTTAGTTAAGGTTGTTTGCTGAATCTTTTAAACTAATCATATTTTAGAGCTGTGAATGTGAGTTTGCAGTCTGTACTGAATGTGATACCATTTTTTTTTTTAAAGGTATTTCTATATGCTTGATGTCATGATGTGTCAAATCCAATTGAGAATACAACAGCTGTTTATGAGGACTATCTTTTATAACACAATCTTTAAAAAAAAAAATCACAGTGTTACACTACAGTCTCCTGACTCATGGTGTTCCAGACACCACTACTTTGCCTGTAGCACTATGTTACTTACATACATTTCGGTTTTTCAGTTTTCAGAGTTGTAATCATGCAATTTTTGCAACATGCTACATTATTGCCTTGTACATATTTGCTTACAGAGATCTACTTGTTTTCCTACAGAACCTACAGTTCAGAGTTCTAGAAAAGTTTCCGGCTGAAGAAATCAAGTGACTAAATAAAAAAGCAGTCAAGGTTGAGGAAAGACAAACATGAGAAACCCAGACCTAGTTATCATTGCCTTGCTGCTCAGCTGTGTAATAGATAGTACCGTCTACAGCCAGGTAACCTGCCGCAGAGCCACGACTCGTGAATGGTACACTCAGCCAAAGAACATCAGTGTGAGGTGGACCCTCATGGAGAACACCTGCAGCAGCTTGACCCAGTGCTGGAGTAGACAAACAGAAACAAATGGACACTTGTGGACAACTGGGTCATATCACTTTCCTCAGCTTTGCCCGCTGGAATTTCAATTTGGAGATGTGATGTTTGTTTCTGCTGACAGAACGCTGGAACAATTTGGTATCCACCTAATTAATGTGTCCAAAGAGGAGTTTGAAAACTGCTTGATTTTAGAGCCACGAAAGGAGCAGTTGGTGTTTGCCAACAGTATTAATGGTACTTTGCAAGTGGAAACGAAATGGCTGAAGACCGGTATGAATTACTTCACTGTTGTTCATAGAGGCAGTAGTCATCTGTGTAGGCTTGGCCTACGCATTGCACTTCTGGTAAAGCCTCAGCACTGCCAGAGCTCACCTCTTCTTCGCCTGTGTTCGGGAAATGGTGAATGCAGAACTACATGTAAAGACGATTCATTTAGCTGTCAGTGCCACAAACACTTTTCAGGACTTTATTGCGAGAACATTGATGGATGCTATGAACAGCCATGCTTAAATGGAGGCACCTGTCTGAGCAAGAGAACAGCCTACACAGATCTCCCACCTTACGAATGTCTTTGCCCCTCTCCGTTCACAGGTGAGGAACTTTATTTACATTGCCAAAAAGAACATATGTCCGTTTTTTAATACACATTTTGCATCTTAAAGGCATATTGCGACAAAAGTTAAATTATTAAATATGATGAAATACATAAACTTTCTATCAACCTTAAAACTTCCAACTTTTCAAACTTTTAAAATTTGAATTTCAATTAATTTTATTTAAATTAATTTGAATGCTTCCCTACATTCAAATTGCAATTCTGATTTATGTTTGCTAACTCAAATCGAAGTCAGGAATTTAAAAGGCATTTTTTATTTAATTATGAATGGTGCACAATTCTACTGTTTATTTCCATTGAAAATGCCTTACTATAACCCGTAATTTTTGCTTTATTTTTAAAACTATTGACAAGGCAAAAATAGTTTCTGTTGTAATAAACATTATGCCACAAATGTAGTCAACTGAGCTTAACGCAAGCTTAACATCCTTTTAATGCAGAGTCCATTATGAGTCCATGCTGACCTTTCAATCATAATGGATGGGGGGATGTTTAATGGGTGTCCACCCACCTACAGAGAACAGCCTAGTTTCTTTGAAGACACGTATTTATTATTTATCTGTCATAATTGCAAGTGTTCTACATTTAGCACTGTGCAATTATTTCAAAACCAGAGCCCCTATGGACCATTTATTTGAATAAGCATTTTTAAAATTTTACCCCCACCCCACCCCCATCTCTTTAGTTCTGTAAGGGAAACAGGTCAATTTAGCTCAAAGGGAATCATTTCATCTCTTTAACCATTTAATCTTGATTACTTGCCCTAAAATTGACAATCTCCTTCCTGAGTTGTTATGATCAGTGTGTTCCTTTTGTGTTAATGTTGAAAGCTGTTCTGTGAAAGAGTTGGTTAGGCTTGCTTCAGACTGGCTAGTGCTAGGGTCTGATTTATGAACATTCTGTTGTCTTGGGCCTCTGTGGAATTCGGCTCCTCATGTTTCAACCATGTTTTGACCAAATCTTAGATTGTCTGATTTGGTCTGATATCCTACAGTTCCCTAATCATGGTAATTATTCCCATATGTTTTTCTGCCACCTGAAAGCATTCTTTAATTGCATGGTACTTTATATTTTTCCTCCTCCTACCATTTAATTTTATTCTCCCTGTCTTGCTTGTCAATAAAATCGGCATCCAAATGTTGTTTAAATGTTGGTCTCTTGGTGAGCACCAAGGATAGTAGAGTATTCAAAGTGGTGTAATGTTGTCATACTAGATAATGTGGTTTGTTTTTATGTCTGCTGAATAATTAATTGTACTTCTGTTAGAAGCACTGGAGGCATTCCTTAGAGACCGCTGGGTACCATGCTATCACAACTAGGCCAGTGTGTAGTCAGATTAAAGCAAAGAACCGAAATTGATCAGTTGGTAAATATATTTATATATATCATAACCAAGTCACTCGCTCCCATCTTCAGCTCAAAGACATTAATATTTTGAATACATGATGCCTTTCCCTTATACAATTTGTTAAACAGTTTTAATACTGAGAGCACGTACCCTGCACTTAATACCATTCAAGCAAATACCATATGTGACCCTGGACCACAAAACCAGTCTTAAGTAGCATGGGTATATTTGTAGAAATAGCCAAAAATACATTGTATGGGTCAAAATTATCGATTTTTCTTTTATGCCAAAAATCATTAGGATATTAGGTAAAGATCATGCTCCATGAAGATATTTTGTAAATTTCCTACCATAGATATATCAAAAATGTATTATAATTAGTAATAAGCATTGGTAAGGACTTCATTTGGACAACTTTAAAGGCGGTTTTCTCAATATTTAGATTTTTTTGCACCCTCAGATTCCAGATTTTCAAATAGTTGTATCTCATCCCAATATTGTCCTATCCTAACAAACCATACATCAATGGAAAGCTTATTTAAAAAAATTGACCTTTATGACTGGTTTTGTGGTACAGGCTCACATATTAATTTTAAGTTATTGAATGATTATCGATAAATAATACAACTCAATTATATCAATAAATATTTTTGTATTTATTTGTATATACAGGTGCATCTCAATAAATTAGAATGTCATGGAAAAGTTCATTTATTTCAGTAATTCAACTCATTTATAAAATAAATTATATTATATATATATATATATATACAAAATATTTTTTTAAATTAATAACAAATATGTCTGAAATCACATAAAATAAAAACCCCATGATATAATAAAATTAGCAACAACGTGCCATCTTACTCCCAAAAAAAATAAATAATAATCATTTTTTAAAATATCATACGCATAAAATATGCATGGTTTACATCAGATTTTGTGCCATCTATAGTAAAGAGGATGTAAAAATGTAAAAAAATGTATATACACTGTTATGATTGGCTAGACTTTTCTCGTGACATTAAAAAAACCCTTACTTATGTCCAGAGCCGTTGAGAAACGCCTCATCATTCAATAACATTCAATAATCATCTTTGCTCATGATATGATCCCTATAAAATGCTTCATCAAAAAAGGAAAATTCTGTCATTATTTACCTTATGCCATTCCAGGATAGTATCCTTTTCTTTCTTCCGTGAAACACAAAAGGATTTTAGGCAGAATGCTCTTCTGTGAAAGTGGATTGTGACTTTAAATGTAGAGGAAAATAATCATAAAAGTAGTCCAAAGGAATGGTGAACAATTTTCCAAGTCTTCTGAAGTGATGTGAATGTTTGTGGGAGGAACAGAATGAAATGTGTAAATTTTCAGCTCTTGCGTTGCGGACATTCGCGGTCACATTCAATAAAGAAATGGCGCCTTTGGTGGGCTTTTGTACGTTGACGTCATTTACGGCAAACAGCATTGGTTCACATGTGTCACATGACCAATTGATTCGGGCGCGCGCTCTGAAAACTGGAAGTTGATGATTGAGGGCGACGAGACAGATAGCAGTGTTATCGGTAAAAAAAAAAAAAAAACACTCTCCTCCTCACACATTGCTATGATATGAATTTAGGAGGCTTGGGATGTTGTTTACCCTTTTATGGACTACTTTTACGACCATTTTTTGTGTTTTCTCGAGCTTGGTGTTATCCCCATCCACTTTATTTGTATAGCAAATGCAATGACTGGATAAAATACAGCATTGGAGAATTTATTCCTTTAATATTTATTGATATTTACAATGTTTGCTTTATAAGATCGAACCATTTTGCACTATTTGAAGTTTAATAAAGTCAATATTTCGGTAGTTATATCACTAAAGGTAAAATGATGTCATTACATGGATTCCAGAAAAATCTTTAACATTGTTATGTAACAGTTTTTTACATCAGGCGTGTCAAGAATCTGATGATGTACTAGATAAATATGCATTAATTCAATGTAATGTCTATATTTTCATGCCATAGGTGTCAACTGCTCTGAAATCACTGGACATCAAAATTGCAGTAAAGGGTGCAAAGAAGGAGCTTGTGTACAAGTCTCATCAACTTCCTACAGATGTGAATGTTTCACAGGATATACAGGCAAGTATGATTGCAAATTCTGCTTAAAATCAAAAACATTATGTTTTGATAATTAGTCATGTGATTAATGATGGGTCATTTTGGGTGCCTTCACAATAGGCCTGGGCGATAAAACGGTATCGATATTTATCGATGGTACACCCTCTTCGATAACGATATAAAAAATGTTCGATATAGCGCACGATATAGGCACGTGCTATGAGTGACGCAGATAGCACACAACAAACACGAACATCAGTGCTGTGCCTGTGATGAGGAGATTGTGAATATGTGAAAAAAATGAATATTAGTCGAATTTAAAATAAACATTTGCATTTGAATGTTAGGAGTGCGTCAGGGAGCGTCATCAGTGGCGCACGAGCGGTGATAATGATGTGACGTTGCATTTTAATGTTTTGTTAAGTCTAGCCCACGAGATGCACCGCTGCTGTGTTATGCATTCAACATATTAGAGAAATATAGAAGCTTAATGCAGAGAAGATCTTGATTAGGTGAAAACCGAAACCAAGCCATTCACACAGATGCATATTAAGCGCATTTTTTAGACGGACAAATATGACTGCTGCACTCGCGTCTCACACAAGAGATGTAGCCATGCAAAGTTAAAACAGTTTAAACTTTTAACACGTCGCAAATTTGTGGAGGTTTATTCCTTTTCACTGCGTCTCATATGTTTTTAAATGCAATCTGCATGATGGGCGATTCGGCTCTTTGTATTAAGCAATGCATAAATACATGATGCTGTTTTGTTCATAATTGTTTATGCAATTTACGAAATTATATTTGATTTATATGAGTTAATTTAGACGTAATGCATGTTTTTTTATAGACAGTTATTTCCTTGCGTTGACAATTTAAATGGGCTGCATTATTTTGCTCATTGCGCCCTCCTGTGGCCTCAGGAGACAAGCCAAAGGTTTCCTTAAAACCTATTTAATCTGCAAATAAAACTAGATTAGAAATTAGATATTTGTTTAATTTTTATTGTGTGTTTGACTGTTAAAACAAAAAATATTTGTTGTTTGTCTCAATAAATTGGGTTCATTAAAAATACAGTGGTTAAATTAAAAAAAAAATTCTATTGCTCTTTGTTTTAAAAAAGGTTATAAAAAATGTCAATGATTATCAATACCGAACGATATGAAACATTATATCGTTGATACATTTTTTAGCTATATCACCCTGCCCTACTTCACAATGGCAGCGCAATTATGCAAACTCAAATCTGAGTGAGGCTTTTTCTATCTCTGCCCACAGTAAGCTGTCTTTCCTACGTGAAGAAGCTGATTTAAAAAATGGAACAATTGAAGCCTTTATATAAGAAAGCCTTCAGAAGATTCTTGGTGCATAAATGGCCAATTGTTTAATAAAGGCTTTGGCTGTGGCTTATTTGAGTGATATGCTCAGGTTGATAAAACTCATGAATGGGGCTTTTCCTGTAGAAAAGAGACAGACATAAACAAGTTATGCTCCTGTGTCCTTCCCAGTCTGTTTATAAGGCACGACCATGACATGCTTTTGGAAAGCAATGAGTCTCATTTGCTTCTGTAAAACCATTGCTGGGCTAATGAGCATCTCACCCACAAATGTGTAACAAAACTTTCACCGTCCCTTGGGTGTTCCTGATAATAACATCATGATAAAGTCTCCAGTCTGAGGTCCAGGTGGCCTTTGCTTGTTGATTAATTGACTTTTGTGTAGCGGCAGTTTGTTCAAGCAGATAGCAGCCTTTAATGCCATGCCTACAGCTTTAATGTGGAAGAAAAAATGTCTAGTTTGTCTGCCACAGATTTATGGCTATCACAGTTTATGATGAATTTCCACTTGAGATTCACCATTCACAGTAAATCGGCCATGGAACACTTGCAATCTGCATCGCAGCCTCATTTGAGAATACCATCAGCTTCAGTGTTAAAAAAAAATCTAATATTATTTTTTAAGTGTTTCTAATGCTTTCAGACAGGCAGGATCTTTTTGGATTATCTGACTCAAATACATTTAGTAGTTTGTAAATTGCAATTAAATTTTTGTAAACCTGATCCACACCACATAACTATATGGTTTGAAATCCAATTTAAAAAAAAAAAAATTTTTTAAATGTACTTTATAGTCTAATTGGTCAGGAATTATTTTAACATTATCATAAACATTATACACACTTTTATCATTCTGTTCACTTTATTTCAACAATTTATTTTTGATTTAGCACGACTGTATCATGTTTCTTGTTCAAACATGATTGCTTCATGTTGAATTGACTGGATATTCTTTGGCATTACACAGTGTTTACATTTTCAAACAACCTGTTTCAATTAAGTAGCTCAAATAAAAAGGACACAAAAAAAAAAGAATTTTGCTGCTTTTTCAGTTTAAGGAAAACAAATAAAACAAGTCAATTGTTCATCCAGTATTGAATAGGGAATACATGAATGTGTAAATACAGTTAAGCATCTGATGCTTATGTTGTATGGTTTAAGAGTTACACTGCTTAAGAGTTCAGCACTGCGGTAAAATGTGACAACTTTATGAGTAACTCCTTGTTTGCTTGGGTGTGAAGCTCACTGTTGGACATTAATTCTTCCTGAGGTATTCAAAAAATCTTAAAATGCTGGTAGGGTTTTGAGAATGAATTATTTGCATCTGATTTGCCTTTACCGCAGCCATATTTGACTAATATTCAGCTCAATTAGACAGAACTGTTGCACTGTGACGTCAGTACATCAACACAGTCTCTCACTGCATATTCTTGGAGCACCTTGTAAGGAAGTAAAAGCAACTGGTCTCCAGTTCTGCTCTGTTTGGCCCCCTGTGGGGCCAGCAGCTCTCTGACTTTGCCCAAGCTGTCACCCCATTAATCACAGTGAAGTTAACGGTTGGCCCGGTACCGACTGCCCTTACGGACCAGAGCCTACACATATAATAATGAGCCCCACACGTGGGACACTTCAAATTAGATTTTCTTTTGATTCCACTCTCAAGTGTACCTTATTCAGACGGCCAGGGGTGTTTGTATCCACATGTTATGGAATTAATAGGATATGCCCTATTGGATACACTATTAATTTTACTGTTCACCTGCCTCGTGGTTTTTGAGGAAATTAAAATGCTGTAATTGTCTTGTTTCTGGGTGGTTTAATAGCAGGTTGGCTTTTGATTTGGATGGGTGATATCTCAAGGTAGTGCACAGCAGGGTGTCAAGATCTGTTTCATATGACTACTTTTTTTTATGATTTTCATCAACCTTATGAAGTCATTAGCCTTTATCAAACATTGAATCATGTACCCATATGATGCATTTACTAATGCAAAGACCTCCTACGAGGAAGGGTAGCCAATCAAAGATAGTTCTTGTGGAAGAATAAAATAATATGTTGAGCTTTGAGTTGTATAATGTCAAGAGCTTTTCATTTTCAATTTCCCTCTGTGGATCCCAGAGAAACACCGCAGAGAGATGTACACTTAGACTGACGCCCAATGGTGTGTCCTCAAAAGCAGTTGGGCACCTCTGGGACTGATGACCTTTGTATCGTTCTGTGAGCTTAACACACTAGAATATGCTTTAAAAAAATGAAAGACAAAAGGAAAGGAAAACACAGTAACAAGGAAGATAAATGAGTTAGCTCCTGCTGAGGAACATGGAAGGGAAAAAAAAGTAAAAGCAAACAGAGCACCACTAGGGAATAAAATCAAATCATGTTCACCTTGAACCTACAGTGCTGCATAGTCAAGTCTAAATTTAACCTGCGAGGAGCGGAAATCAGACTGTTCCAATCCGCAGTTACCTAGAGGAACCAGCAGTCTAGATGTTCTCGGTCCAAAACCTTCCTGTTTGATCGGGTTGTTCGGTTCAGGCAAGATGGGGACTTAATATGGACCCTTGAACCTCCACATTAGTGAATCATTGAGAAAAGCGGGAGGGTGATAAGAGCTTTATATTCTCATTTTTCATCAAACCAAGTGAGAGCCATGGGACTCCACGCTGAGACTCTTAGTACTAGTGATATGCTGGAGCAATTGTCCACTGTCATTGCAGTCGTAAAGTTTGAACATTTGTTTTCACTAAGCATTCAGAAGCTAATAGTTATTATAAAGATGATTTGGAAGCTAAAGAGCATCTGTGTTAAATCAGATTAGTAATGTTTTGAATAAAATTTAAACATGATTCTTTCTATAATTGCATTTTTTTTTTCCTTTAATTTTCTTAAAAGCCCTATTAGAAACACATTAAGAAACGGTAAGCAGAAAACATACTTTAATAAAATAAATAATTACATATATTCAGCTAAGCGAGAGATCCAGAGAGGGAATGTGCTATTGAAAATCCCATTACGGCTGTGATTTGATCTTTGGCACAAACCTAGCATAAGTAAAGACAAACGTAAAAAAGAAACTAAATTTTGGGTATAATTTGTTAGCATCTACACAATGTTTTCCCACAAGTGAGTTGTTGCTATGCAACAAAGTAACAATGTTACATCTTAATAAATTGCCCTGGAACTCGATAGATTATTTTGTGTTGTTGCATAGAACTGTTGTAAAAATTAAAATAACAGGAAGAACTGGTAAAACTCATTCATTTTATTGCACTTGTTTTTCTGTCTTATCTCTTAATATAGAATTAAGACAAAAATACAGACTTACTGATGAACTGTGATTTTAAATCAGCATGATTTTATGCACAAATGCTTGTATGCGCAAAGTTAGCGAATCGGACCTGGTATCTAAATCAAAAATGCTTTGACAGAAGCATGTGTTTTCATTCATTTTAATTATGATCATTTCATATTCATTCATTCATTCTCAATAAATTCCTTCATTGCAGGTACTTACTGTGAACGAAAGAGGCTCCTCTGCGATTCAAACCCGTGCTGGAATGACGGTCGCTGTGAGGAGACTGCTAATGGATATGTTTGCACATGCCCAGGGGGTTTCACAGGCCTCAACTGTGAGACCACCACTGAGGCTGACAGCTACTGCAAGTCTAACGGATGTCAACTGGACGAAGCGTGTGCCACAGAAAAACTTGTGAGGCCTTTTCCTTTTTTTCTACATTGCTCATAATGCTGTTTTTTTTGTTGTTGTTTTTTTGCCTGAGAGAATGTGATTAATTTGAAATGCCACATGCAAATGTTTGTGACACTCCTGAAGCGGATCAGCCTGTGTCACATTGAAGGTTAGAATAACTATTAATAATTGTTTTGATAGCAGAATGGGCATGGCATATGTAACTTTTTTTATTATTGGACTTGAGCAAGCTGTTACATATTCATTATAGAACAAAAAATGGAATTATGGGACATTTCTGCCATGTTCCCTTAGAAATGTTTCCCCAGATTGTTACAGTTACAGTCTGCTGCTCATGAGCCATTACTGTTATGAAGAGATGAATTTAGAAGAAAGTGGGCCAGTGGCAGACTAATTGTCTTAAGTGACCTTCATTTACTCGGTAGTGAAATTCAGCACATAGGCCTGTCCGCAGCAGATTCTCATGAGATGCTTTAGTCATTTGAGAGTATGGACCGTAAAGATAGACTTTAATCTCTCTAACACATACACACACTCAGACACATTAAATTGATTTGTTTGACATTGATTTGGTTTGTCTGAGACATCATCCTAAGACAACTCATCTGTATGAAAATGAAATAATCCTTCATGCCACTCTAGAACTGCATCGATGCTTATATCAGTGGGAGTCTCTATCTTACTTTCATCTGGGATTGTTCTCTGCTTCTATTACTCCTCTTTGAACGACTGAGTCAGAAATATTATTAATGTCAGGATCGGTTAGTGCAAGTTGGAGAGCAGAACTGGCTAATGACTTGTCTATTGTACTGCTTTTTCAGCTCTGGATGCCTCAGTGCTGGTTATTTCCCTGTTTTAACATGATCAGCTCAAAAAAAATAAAATAAAAAAATGTATGTTTTTAGTCCCTAATTTGGTTTGTCCTGTAGGCAGATGTCCAAGGTTAACGACAGAGTGTTTGTGCTGTTGCCAGAGCTAGTGTCCAATATGGTTTCATTTACAACTAGAACATCTGAATTTTTTATTCACTTTTATTTTATGTCTGACCATTACATCAAGGCCAACTTGTGAAACTAAAAAATTACTTGGAATGTTTACATTTGTTCTCAAAACTAGGAGTAAAACTCCTACATAAATAAAAAAAGACTTTGATGCATTATGTTTGTTTACGGCTGAATTACATAGCAGTTACTGTGTTTGGCTTTCAAATTAGTGGAAATGGGAGTTTGCAGATCCCTTTGGACAAGCTCCAACTCTGGCCAAACCCCAGTACTATTTTGGTGGAAAAATGTTAAATGATGCAGATATAACGGTGTTCAATCTCACCAGTATGTGGTTAGATTTCAGCATGTTTCTCCACTTGACACGCAAATAACCATCCTTGGGGTGGTCTTTTTCTTCTGTGCAGAATTCCACATGTATCTGCGTAGGCCCGGAATGCTCGGAGCAGGCAGAGGTGTGTGGCACTTTGCTCTGTCTCAACGGTGGCATCTGTGTAGTTCAGAATGGCCAGTATCATTGCAGGTAAGAAGCTCAGGTCAGCAGGGTTGGCATTACTGATCAAGGCCTTTTTATTATAATTTCTATCATTATTATCATTTCATTTTATTGTTAATGAATCTTTAGTGCATGTTAGTTCAGTGTCAGAGTTCTGGTGGTCTGTTTTCATGTCCATGTTGTGCTCTTATTTTGAAGTTTGATATCTTGCTCTTATCTGTGTTTATGGTTTGTTCCCTTCATTGATCCGAAGTGTATGTTGTTTAGTCTTGTTAACCTATTTGTCTTGTGTGTGTTTGGCTTTATACGATTCTGCACAGACCAATCTACATACGACTTGTACCAGTGCATGTTGATTAAAAATGTTGTCTGATGTCAGACAGTGCCACTTCCACATTACAGTGCTTCACTAGAGCGGCTGTGCAAGCTCTGATGATGGCATGGCTATTTCACGATTGGCCAGGCTCAGTGATGACAACGATAGAGTGCGTTTCATGTTTATTCTGACACCCTCAGCTTCCCAAATGCTCACAAATCAGTGTTTTTATAACAGTAGAATATTTTTATCTTGTACTCTTAATGCTGTATTTTTTACAGTATTTTGTGTTTATCAAAATAAAACTGATAAAAATATAGACCCTACTTTAGTGGTATTCAAATACCAATTTGCTGAACTATATTCTTTTATATACAGGTGCTGTTTCTGGTTGCTTCTAACGACTAAAATACCTATCTGTCACACCCACTGAAGGCTCATCAGTAGATCACACGTGCGCTAAAATGAACTAACCGGAACATAACCTGCTCCGGAGCAGGTTATCGTCAGAGAGCAAGTTACTATGGTTACTTACATACCCTGAAAGTAACCTCTGATTTTGGAACCGAAAACTGAGGTTATCCACTCGTTTATCCTCAAACATACCCGGGTATGTCACATAACCTGCTTTTTGGAATACCCCCCTGGTCTTGTCCTCTGTAAACTTGTTTGATTGGTTGGTTGGTTAGTTAGTCCCTGTTCATGGTTTCTTGTTTATATTTTACTAATTTAAGCTCCACTTTAAGCTCCTTGCCCTATGTACTCTGGGACACACTTTCTTGTTGGTCATGTAATGTTGGTTTCTTTACAGAAGTAAATAGGCAGTGAACAGGATTTCACATTGATTTTTACATTGTTTTGTGTGACCTCACATGTCTAGAGGCCTGCAAACTAGAAAACTAACCAGTCAGCACTCATTCTGATTCTCCTTCTGAATCATTTTGTGCCTTTGGGTTTGATGACACGTCTTTGAAGGCAGAGTTTTGGAAGAATCGTTTACAGTATAGCACCTTTTCATAGTTTGTTAATCAAAGATATTTATTTAACATGAATTTGATAAATTGCTTTGTGATTACATTTTTAACCGCTGAATATCATGTATGCTGTGACTGTGTATTTTTCCTTGGTTTATGATTTTACTGGCCAGAAATAGGAATACAGTCTATAGACAGTGAAATGTTCATTAAATTTCCATTGGTAAGGTTTAATATTCAGTCTGTGACAGCTTTTGAATTACTTCCTGCAGCATGTGTGCCAGAGGTTGAACATTTAACAGGCATTCTTGTCATGTGTTTGCTTAAAGGATCTTTTAATACTCCACAAATGTCACCAAGGAGCATAATGGTCATTATGAGAGACCTGTAACATCTAAAAACAGCAGGAAAGTGCCTGCATTTCATCCCATCATCACTGATTGTTACTCTGGGTCATTTTTACTCTTAGAAGTCTATTTTTATATGTGGCTACGGTTAATGTCATTTTCTTGTAGATGCCGACAAGGTTTTTCCGGAAAGAACTGTGAAGAAATAATTGACTTCTGCAAGCTGCTCAATATTAACTGCCTGAATGAGGGATTGTGTCTCAGCCTAGTTGGAGGATATAATGTAAGTAACCTAATTTTTGGAATGGTTAATTTGTACAATAAAATACATTAAAAATTAATTTCAGATAGCATACATTTCTTATATTGCTCCATTATAGAGAAGCTAAATCAGAAACCGTAGAAGATTAGAAGAGGTAATGTATATGCTTTGTAAATGCAGGAAATGTTAAAAGTTGGAGGAGAAATGCTTTCTATATATACAGTATATTACATATACATATGCAATATTTGCATTGTCATTTTGGGCAGGAAATCAAAGGAACACAATCTGACTATACTTTAGTCAGATTGTGTTCCTTTTATTTCCTACCCAAAATGACAATGAATGCAAATAAACATCCCAACAAAAATCTCTTCCCATTTCAGTGGCTAGCGCACGTCTATTAATTTATAACAGTTCTCAGTCTTTCAGTCACATTATAGCATCCTTGATTTATGCTTGTGTCTCAAGGTTTCAGCCATCCTCTTCTATTTCAATATCATCTTTCTGTCACTCCCATCAACAGATCTGCTGTTTGAGTGATGTGTCTCAGTTATACACTGTCGATTGATGCAGTCGCATCTGTTTTTGTTATGAAGTGCTCTAGAATATGTGCTTCACATAAATTGATTTACTTGAAGTGCAATTTGTTAAACTATAAAAATTGGATGTTCATACAAGGGGATCTGACACAGTCATGCAAAGTGTTTGCATGTATGAACATAAATGCTGTTTTGATAATGGAAAAATACTTTTGAAGCAATGAATGACCTATGACTGATCCTTCATTAATCAGAATAAATGTTTATTTTACAGGTATAAAAAGCATAAAATGAGGCCTGAAAAAATATCTACATTCTCAAAAATGAAGGGAAAAAATAGTTTTTGAGTATGTCAGCATTAACTTTGAAAGATGAAGTAAAAGTTTTCTATTTTATGTTACAGTGAGCTGATAACATTCTGGGAAGCTCAAAATGTGTTCTTGAAGACTTTATGGCTGATATATATGACTTTACTTAAAATAACCTGGGAAAAACTGCACAGATACTGTTGTGCATTGGAATTTTAAAGCACTCTTTCTCTGCAGAAGTTTCTGTGATGTATGTAAACATTGGTTATTATAAGAGCAGATTTGGTTAGTGTGCTGTTTGGAGACATCTGGTTGTTTAATTACTAATCACTGTCATCCTTAATTAAAACTTTGACATAGTCCAGGAAACAGGCCACATTTCTTCATTAGTAAATTGGTGAAGAATCTGTAGGTCATCAGCAACATTTTTCTTCTTAAATGTCCTTTTCCCCCTCCTTATACTTCTTAAACTCTAATATGCTATATAATTGCCTTCTGAGTAATGATTCTTAGAATTGCCAAGGGCTTAATTAGCTAGGAATTCTGATTTCAGGATATTTAGTACAAATTAATTTGTAGACAGCAACATAGGGGATTGGAAAATGGAATTACCTTTTCATCAAAGCTTGAATGCAAGTTTAACCAAACTATAAGAATAATAGCAGGGGATTCTATATGTTCTTTATTTAATACATTATTGTACTGTATATGCATTTAGTGTTTTGCTGATAGATTGAATATCTAATAATTCAGGTTAATTACTAAAACATCTTTTCCCCCCACAGTGTCTCTGTGCACAAGGATGGACGGGGGAGTTTTGTCAGTACTTGGATAACGCATGCTTAGCCTATCCAAACAGATGCTTGAACGGAGCTACTTGCATCAGTATGAGTCAGCCAACTGCACCCCCGCACTATATGTGCACCTGTCTCCCTGGATACACAGGTTAAAAGAAAACTATATCAACAAACTCCAGTGTTATCCTGATTAATGTTTGAGTTTGCACAGAGTTTGGCAGCAGAAGCTTTTTAAAGCCACACTCAGATTGTTTTGTTTTTTTCTACAGTAGGGTTGGAGAAGAGAATTATTGTCACGTTTTCGTGCAGTGTCGGAGATTGCATAGAACAAAAATTGTTTTCTTATATATCAGCTATATCCATAGAATTCTGAATATTGAATATAAAATATATCTGTCATCCACCATATGTGTTATTCTTGTGACATTTTTGAGAAAGTTACATGCCACTCAGACTTCAGGACTGAATTTAAAGTCCATTTGAATCCCAATAAAAAGATTGGATTTGAAATAAGGTAGCAACCTGGATACAAAATTAGATTTTGAATGAAAAGAAACTTCTAAAAATATATATATTTTTTATATATATATATTTTAGGTTAATTTCCCAGAATCCTCTACTTTACCCAAACCTCTTCAAAATAGAGCCAAGCACTGATGTATAACCAGTGCATTTATATGTTCATATCAATATTTATTTTTTTGTAAACAATGTGAACATTTAGTGGTATTGGTTGACAAAATTAAAATCTATTTAGATCTGTGTTGTTTTTTCTGACAATATTGAACATTGCAATCTGTAGAGAGGAAAACTTTCTACCTATCAGAAGAAAATAGGCATATTTAGTCCAAATTAATAGTGTAATTATGTTTTGTTACAAAATTTGTGTTAGTCCCAATCTTGGAATCACAGTTCAGTAAATTACTCTTCTTGTCATTCAACATTCTGTGGGGCATGGCCAGTTCCAATTCCAACTCATGAATTTGAATAGGAGCCAGTTCTGAATTTTGCCCTAGCCTGAATAACAGTTTCATGCCCAACATATATATCATCTGCTGTAATGTGACTCAGAGTGTGTGTTCCACCGAGACAAGTCCCACTGCCCCGAGGCATCTCTTTACCGTAACTCATCTTTGCACATTGCCCTCCTAACTGGATTATTCTATAATTTGTTTCATCATGCCTGCTAAATGAAGGGCAAATAGAGGTTAGAGAACACTTAATCCGTAAATCTAACTGGGAAAGCAAGATCTTTCATTAGCTTGGCCACCAGCGCATGAGCACAGAATGAACTATTTGCCTAAACAACCCAGAAATAAATAAACAAACAAGACAAATGATTTACTGGATTTCATCAGCCATGACGTGTTGATCTCAGTGGCATGCGTTGCGTGTTCAATGCTCTTGCATAGGAAAATGTGACGTAGTGTTTTATAGGCACTTTACATGAATTATAGATCATCTACATTTCATGACACCTATAAACCGTAACATGTTATGAAGCCGTATTATTTGAAAAATGCCTTCCCTGAGAGATTTCTTTCAGTACTACATAGTAGATCTCGTATTTTCAACGGGATAATCGCCAGTGCTTCTGTGTCCTTGTTATCACCTCTCAGATTCCTTGATGGCTCTATTTCCCATCTAAGCAGATGAAGAAATCTATCTTTCCACATCCCAAGTGTCAGCAACAAGAGGCACCTGACAATTTCTGCCTTTCTGTGAGCTGTATAATGGATTAGAATACTATTAGGAGAAAACATGTCACAGCTCAAACCTCAATGTTTTATTTAGATATCTCGATGATGCTAACGATATCCCCATCGATTAATGACCCCAGAGACTTAAGAACGACCGTCCCTGTCCCATTTCTCACCACGGTATTGCCAGAAGGCCATTGTGAAATGTCAAGTGCTTTCATTATGATCTTCCTCGAAAAAGTCAGACGACATGTTGAGGGAAGATAATGTGACTTCTCCCACAGCAGAGAAAAGCGTTAAAAGTATTGGTGAAGCAGATTTTGCACTGGATAAGACTTTCTACAGCTTGCCTTGCTTTTTCAATGCAAATATTTGACTGATTTGATTCCATGTTACGTTACTTATGTAACTGTGCGTGGATGAACAACATTAATAGAGATCTGCCAGTGAGTTGGGAAAATGACCTTCAGAACAGTTCTTGGGTTGCTGCTGGATACTAACTGCTCTAAATATGAACTGCCATAACACCCACAAAAATCTGAGATTCAGTGCCATATGCTCTATTTATGAAGTTGCCTGAGGTCAACCTAAAGATGCAGCTTAATTCGTAATGTGCTGCAATTTGTAATCTTCAAGAAAAATAAATAAATCATAAACAAATTATATAAGCATATTATTTTTTTCCTGTGAAACAAACAGGACAATTTGGAATGTAAAAATTTGCTTTATTGATTGGCATAATTTTATTTTTATTTCAGTTTTAGTAATCTTAATTACATTCATTTTCACATTCATCTTATTTTCATATTTATTTTTAATAACAATTTAGCTTTATTTCAGTTAAAAAAAAAACATTTTTTAATAGTTGTAATTTTAGTTAAAAATAACTAGACAGAAATTCATGCAGGTTCAAAATGCATGACATGAGGGTGAGTTGAAACAATTTAAAAACATTTTTAGGGTTAACTATTTCTTTAGTCTGACATCCTTTTTCTGTGCCTCCTCACTTCTTTTTCATTGCTTTTATTCCACACAAAAGTTGAGTCACACTTATATACTGTCCCTCTCTGGCATCTCTCAAAGTTCCATATGTTGCATCATTTTGCATACTGTCTGTCTGCATTAACTGTCTGAACTGTGACTCAGTAAATGGCAGTCTGAACTGTTACTAAATACTTTCAGAATGTAAAACACGATTTGGCCTATCTTCTCTCTGGCGTGCACCAAACAGTGAGCCATGGGGGTGGGGGGTTTCCAAATTTGCTTCTAAATCCCAAATGTCAAAAGTGAAGTCAATATCTTCAGGGGAGACGGAGTGTAAAAGCTTAACTAACACTCCATTCACACCCCTGTCTTCCTGCAGGACGTTACTGTGAGGCTGAAGTAAATGAGTGCGATTCCAGTCCCTGTCAGCACCAGGGAACATGCACTGACTTTGTTGGATACTACAATTGTGCCTGTCCTTCAGGTATGAGTCTCTCTTACTCCTGAGAATGTTTTTTTTTTTTTTTTTTTTTGACTGTGCCACAAATCCCCACTGTGCCAGCACCAGTGGCTCTGACTGACAGCTGAGCAAATCACTCCCATTCTCACACTGCCAGAGCTCATTAGTACTGCAGAATTGTGTCAATATTGTGTTATGAAATGCTCTTCCCTTTTGAGGCCACTGCATTGATATGGTTTCCTCACGTAATTGTTGGTTCTGCTCACTCTTTCTGAGGCATGATTTGCATTCACTGATGCAACCTGATGGCTCACCCTAGAGATTGGCACTGGCGGGGTTACAAGCATGCTTTTCTGCCAGCTGCTCCCTTCCGCTCGATGAGTAGACGACCCAGAGTCCCAAACGCCCCCTCCCTAAACCTGCCCACGCGTGCTCGCCGCTCAGAGAATGAGATGCAAAAGAGAGAATCATCTGAATAACTCCTCATAAAAAGATTGAAGATGTTTTCTTTTTAAAAAGTAAAAAAGCTCGACTAGGCTATTGTGAAATGGTGGACAAACTTTAGCAAAGATTATTGACTCAATGTAAAATTAAGTTAAAGTTAGAGTCAAATATAAAATGCTTAAAGGGGATAGTTCAATCCAAAAATGATGTCATTATTGTCGTTATTTATCACATGAAACTGTAAGACTTTTTTCTGTGGGTATTTTGAAGAGGGTTGGTAAGCAAACAGTTTGAGGCATTTCTCAAAAAATCTTTTATGTTCCACAGAAGAAAAAAAAGTCATTCAGGTTTGTAACAGCATGAGGGAGAGAAAATGACAGAATTATCATTTTTGGGTTTAATGACATTATAAATCAAAATTTTCCCTTTGAATTGGAACATGAGGTATTCCAGCTTGTTTGTTTTTTATTATTTAATTGAATTATTACTTAGGTTGGTCTTGTTGTAAACAATGATTGCAAAATTATAAAATATTTAGATAATAAAAACTGCTGGATGAAACACAGCAGAGTGGAACAGAACGTAGGGGTCTCAATGTTTTTCAAAGTTGAGTTGTTTTTAACTGAATGTGTAAATAGACCAATAAATAAAGTCTTAGTTTTTTGAAAGCTATGGAGTTATAAATGTAGTAATTTTAAAACCTTTTCTGAAAGCCTGTTAAAAGTATTAAAGCCAAAAAATAAAGTAAAAAAGACATAAATTCACTAGTTGACCTCTCTAATCGACTGTAGTCGACCATCCTTCCTGACCCATCCTTAATTTTCATAATTGTGATCTTCCTGCTTAAACCTCTGTGAATGCATTTTTAAATGATTGGTATTCATTATGTAAACCAAATGCAAGCAAGCCAAAAAAAATGTATCTCTCTCCAAAAGCCCTTGTACAATCTAGCCTGGCCTCTTTCTGACCTTTACAATTGTGTTCTTTTCACTTGGGCTGACTGGATTTTGGGCTTTGAATAGGCTTTCAAAAATTGATTGCCGTTTTCTTTTACTTTCTTTTTTTCCTAGAAACAAAGAGGGAAAAAAAGAAAGAAATTTGATTTCCAGCTTGCTTCATGTTCATTGATTGACCTTATTGATTGAGGCACAATGACATGAGGTATATATGCGGTGCGTTCTCAAAGGCATTAACAAGAGCGAAGGCGTTTTAATCTTGTTTAATCTTTTACATTTTGCTTTTGCACAAAGTTCTTTTAGTTCCCAATCAAGGAAGCAGGGATGGTGAAGTCCAAGTGTTTCTTCAGATTGGTTTGTGTTTCTCACCTCCCTTTCCAGGATACACTGGGGTTGACTGTGAGGTTGACATAAACGCCTGTGTGCTTCCGAATGTTACCTGTCCCCCTGGAACATTCTGTGTGGATTTGCCAGGTGACCAGCTCCATATATGTCACACTCAATGCCCTCCCTATCTACAGGTAGGTCAGAAGGGTTCAGCCCCCTCTAGCCCCCTATACAATACACTAGTTACAATAACACTAATGTTTAGAACAGGGGGGGTTTCTCCGGTTTCTCCGTGTCTCCTCAAAATATTGGATGAGAAAAAAATTTGTAGTACAAAAATAAAACAATGCCAATATTACAAAATATAACATTAAAAAGTGTATAAATCCCTCATATTTCTAAAGAAACACTGTACAACAGCAACACCAGCAGGTAAAGTTACAGCGGGAGTCTGCGTCTCTCTCGCCTCCCCTGAGCCCATTGAGTTTTAACAGACTCCCTAAAGTGTGCAGTGAGTTTGGTGGGGGGTAATTGAGAATGAATGGGGGAAAGTCATGTTAGAGGAGGCAGTGCCTCCATCGCAATATGATTGGATATGACTAGTTATGATTGGCTGCGACTGATTCATGCGATAAATCATGTGAACTCATGCGATTCATGCGAACACGCCCTCTTGTGCTTGGGCGTGTTCACGAATCAGTCTGAATGAACAACATAATGACACTAATGGGAAGACTAATATAAAAAAGTAGGTAAACAACTCACACACTTAGATATAACCACTTTGTTACATCAAAATAAGACTTAAAATGGCATGAAAACAATGCTCTGTGGGAATTCTTAGTGAGTAATTATCTTGGTGAAATGTAAAGTAAATCTCCATGTCTGTGACCAATATTTACCGAGCTTTGATGACTGATGATCAGAGAAAAAAAAAAAAAAACACTAACTTGATGGGATTCATACTTGGCTTTAATAAATAGAATATTGATTACATTGTTAATGTAAAAATATAAAATAGAATTTTTTTCTTTTTCTTTCTGATAGTGTAAGAAATGTTTAATTAACCAAGAAAATGCGACTGGGACATGAATTTACATTTGATTAAAAAAAACATAGACAAAAACGTAGTTTTACTTCCAGTCAACTAAATTAATTTACATTAGACCAGTGACAAGACAGAAAAATCCATTTGAGTCAGTATAAACAGTTCTTTTGAGTAACGACAAGTAGGCCTGTCACGATGACAAGTTTTTGTTGTGCGATATATTGCCCCAGAAATAATTGCGATAAGCGATATTATTGTCATTTTAAACACCATTTTATGCCTCTGAATATATAATCATAATTTAACGGCATAATAATGCAAGAAGGCCTGCACACTTCCAAATGACAACAAATTTTTAAGAATATTTAGATCATGGAAATTAAGTATCAAAATATTAGATACCTTAAAAAACCTGAATAAATAGTAAATACAAATTTTCTAACAAAAAGTGCAAAGTAACAAGTAGAAAAAAAGAAAAATGCACAAAGAACTTGTATGGAGATTTTTCCATCTACAGATTTTTCCAACTAGCACCTCATGACTACACCACGTTATGTACGAGAAGCTGCAAAAGACACAGGCGCAAGTGAAATGTACAAAACATAGTAACATTAATTTTTAAGTAAATATAATGGGCGATATATTGCGTCACAAAAAATGATTGAGGTCATGTACATATATTGCACGATAAATCGATATATTGATTATTGCGACAGGCCTAACGACAAGGCATATTCATATAAGGCATATTTTTCAATGCATGAACTCATTCAAAATGCATACACCACCCTCTTCCATGTTCCACTTGAAAAGAGCAGGTTAAAAATGTTATGTTCTTAGCAAGCTATATTCTTTTGAAGATGTGAAACTGTTTGCATGCTTTGTCACTGAACAATATCACCAATGGCAAATTGCATGTCCCTTTTGAACATGTTTGATCATTTGGATTTGCTTTACTTGTGTTGATAATCACCTTCACCACTAATGTAAATGGCAATTAAAATGCATTACCTTTCCTTCATTAACCAGCATGTTTTATTTAACACCGGGAACAAGTTTTTCTGTTTACAAAAGACCAGAATTACCTTTACACACATATTTAAATGAAGGATTGTTCAGGAATAATGGTTGATTTTCATTTTGACAGCCATGTGCCAATGGAGGACATTGTGTCCTTAACAACATCACCAGTTACAGTTGTGTTTGTGCAGCTGGATGGACTGGGCCGACCTGCTTGGTCAACATAAATGAGTGTGTCCAGCACAGGTGTCAGAACAGAGCCACCTGCGTGGATGAGGTTGGTGGGTACAGGTGAGTCTGAAAAAAAGTTTTGTTTTTGTTTTTGTTTTTGTTTTTTGTTTTTTTACTTAACGCAAGGTTTATTTAGAGTACAGCAAATGCTTTGCTTAGAAATTAAGTGTATTCAAATGTGATTCAGTTTTTTTTTATTTTCATACAAAGATAATTGTAATCAAGTGAAATGCATTTAAAATGTCATTATAAAGATTAGCATGAACTCAAATGCAAATAAAATAAATGCACAAATAAAAAAAAATTCTGTAATTATTTACTCATGTCGGTAATTATTTACCCTCATGTCGTTCCATTTCGTATGCATTGTTTCTCTGCTGAACAAAACCTGAACAGATTTTTTTTTTTTCCATACACCAACAGTTTGTAGTGACCATGGTCTGTCAAGCTCTAAAAAGGACACAAACGGACATCCTAAAAGTAGTCCATATGACTCATGCTCTATGTTTCAAGGCTTCTGATAACTTTGTGTTATGAACAGGGCAAAATGTAGTCATTATTTGGTGATAACCCTCACCTCTGCTGCTACTCTCAAATAAATATGGCACCTGCTGCTGGTTAAATGTCAATAGAATCTAACATTGATTTTTCCAGTGTCTTGTAACCAAATGTCATTGCAGCAAAGTTCTGCCCTAGGCCATAAATTTGCAATCCGCAGCGGAGGTAATAATCTCTATAATTATGTTTTAATTTTTTTTTATTATTTTGCACAAAACTGGTATACTTTTAAAATCAAGTTGTGCCGACAACTTTTATCGTTCTTTTATAGTGCCTTTTTTGAGTTTGACAGCCTGTGGTCACTATGTATGGAAAAAAAAAATCAGTGTAAAGATCATTTAAAAAAAGAAAAAAGAAAAAAAAACATATTTTGTGTTTCATAGATACAATAGAAGCATAGGGATTTGGAATGACATGGGGGGTGGGGGATAAGAACATTTTAATTATCCCCTTAATGATAGCATGTTGTTGTACTATTGTGGGGGGGTTTTTCCCAAAAAAAGAGTGATTGGGGTGAATTTGTCCATTTTAAACAGGATGCTTCTCTCAGTATAAAATTTAAATTGATATTCTGTTCAGGTTCAGTTGCAGTTTACTGTCTCATTCTAGAATTAAACCACCCATAGCTGTTAAAACAAATAGCATGTTCCTGTGATAGAAAGCAAAGCAAATTACATAGTCCTCCCCCATGACTCAGCCATTTATTTTCATACCATGTCTGGCTGTTTTGTTTGCGATTCCATTAAGAGATACTGTTTTATGCATTCCAAGTTGCCTTTGCGGGGCGGGGGCTTTTTTCATATTAGCAGTAGGTCATTGGACACAAATCGCACTGATTCCTGAGAATACAGCAGAACTTAATATAACACAATTCACTGTAAATTTTTTAGGAATGCCATAAGAAAGAACAATGACTCACAAAACAGTGCAGCACAGCACAATTTAGTAAGAACCTTAACATAAACGCAGATTATAAAATGTGCCATTCTCTCAATCATGCACATTTTTCATCTCATTCCTGTCTACTGGGCCGTTGATGTGCAACAGGTTGGGTGAACTGAGTGGGCTTCCTGGCAAGAATGGAGCTGGTTTTAGTCTCTGCATCCTCCTATAAAGCTGACAAGTATGCCTAGTGCATATCAGGAAATGACGGAAAATAAGTGCAGTCTCAATAATCCCTCGGCAAGTGTTTGAATCATAGCCCTCAGGAAAATAAAAGGATATAAGCTGCCACCATGCTGCGGATACAAATGATTTCTAGACAAGGGAGTATAGTGAGTCATGAGAGTATAGTGATTTGATGACGTTATTTGATGGTAAGGGTTACTCACAATACCAAGAACAACTTCAGATGCACATAATGGCAGATTATATTCAAACTGACATTTTCTAAAAGGACAAATGAGGATCCTGTTCATGATAGTGTGTGATCATACCAAAGCATCGTTTGCATGATTTTCCGAACCATTACTCTCAGCGTTTCCCCATACATTTGTGAATAGCTGACATTATTATTGTCTTGTTCTTGAATGTAATACATGTAAAGCATTGAATAACTGCCTGCTAGCCAGATGTTTTCAGTTTTCTTCTTTCTGTTAAGGCTATTTGTGATTTAATTGTATAAGTTTATAGCTTTATATATGGCAATATTCATGTTCATATAATTTTTGTGTGTCTCTCCTCTGAGCAGTGTGACATTTTATTACTGGCATCCTCTGTGAACTGCAAAGTCAGGTCTTTCGTTTAATTATTTCACATCTATATTCTCTTGGCATTCCAGCTCGCCGCTGAGAGTGAACAAGTTCTCATTACCCTCACGGTTCAGAAGACCAATAAATACAAATACTTGTTCTTATAATCCTTCAGCAGACCTGTATGTGTATGTAGCTGTGCATGTAATTATATTTTAATGGGCTTTGTCATCCAGTGTGGCTTAAAATGTGGGTGTTTCAGAATACTGGCTTGATAGGTGAGTTGCTTGTAGACTACCGGTATATACTGAATTATTTTGCAATCTACAAGTTACTGAAACATGTGTTCTCTCCTATGTTGTAGTTAAATACCAAGAATGTTCATCTTAAAGGTACATGGTGAATGTAGCGATTTTTAAAAACACTTAATGTGAGTTTTAATCATATTTTGTGTGGTTTATTTTGCCAGGGAAAAAAAGTGGGACATTTTTTTTTACCTTTTAGGGAATAACAGTCTGAGACACTACCATCAATTACACCCATCAATGTACACCCAACTGACCCTTTAACATCAGTCTAGAATGTGTTTGGTTTTTTGAATATACTTTAATCAAAGAAATATATCAAGGTTTTCACACAAATATTAAGCAGCACAACTGTTTTCAACATTGATAGAAATGAGAAATGTTTCTTTAGCAGCAAATTTTGTTTGCGATTCCATTAAGAGATACTGTTTTATGCATTCCAAGTTGCCTTTGCGGTCACGGATATACTGGAGTCCACTGCGAACTTGACATTGACTTCTGCTCTGGGCATCAGTGTTCAGAACACGCCTTCTGTCTGGACCAACAGCACAACTACACCTGTCACTGCATGCTGGGATATGAGGGAACGTTCTGTGAGCTTGAGACAGATGAATGCAAAAGTGCACCATGCACCAACGTTACCACTTGCATTGATTTGGTGGCAGGTTACCAATGCCTGTGTGCTCCAGGATTTAAGGGTAAGCGAAATGTTTTACTCAGTGGTACTACTGAGGCGGGAAACCATCTCTGGGCTTTTGATGGGCATTGACTTTCATGATTAAAAAGGAAATGTGTCTAATTAGTCTAATTGTGATCCATTATTTGAAAATATTTAAATTAAAATCTTTATAATTAATTTTTTTATATTTATATGAAGGTTATAAGCAAACTTTCATTTATCCAGGCTTCTTTCTAATATATAATACCTTGTTTTACTTGGAAATATGTTACATTACAGGAAACAAACATGTTGCAAATGGTTATTTATATTGACTTCAAAAAATTATCACAGAGGTCTAACATGATATGATACAGGCATTCTCTTATCTATTTTGCCTGTGTTAATGTCCATCATGCAGGTCGAACATGCTCCAAGAATATGAATGAGTGCTGGTCCAGACCCTGCCTTAATGGGGGCACCTGCATTGATCTGGTCAATGACTACATTTGTATCTGTCCACTTGGTAAGTAAAGTCCAGCACTGTTCCAAAACAACAGATGCATCCTGAGCTGAAAGCAGTTGTGCTACACCATGTATGATTTAAAGAACTTGATGTATAGTAAACATTATGTTGAAAAATGTAATTGTTCTTGGGAAGGAGCCACAGGTCCATATAGGAAATTATTCCCCAGGAACCATTTAGACTTTAGTGAAGCCCTTATCTCCACAGCTCACATGCATCTGTAGATGTGAACCTTTATTGGGTCCCAAGAAACATGTCCTGTGTGACTCATGCTCCCTGTTTTCTAGATAATCTTCCAGCCCAAGGGGAAGAGAATCCATCAGTGTAAATTTTCTAGTGTTTATTAAAACGGCCTCCCTTTAATTGGCATATTAGGATCATTTCTGAAGGATGTGACACTGAAGACTGGAGTAATGGCTGCAAAAATGCAGCTTTTTTTATATGTTTTATATATATACAGTGGGTATATTGAATTATCTGGCCTCATCACCAAACTATATGTCTGGCGGAAATCCAATACAGCTCACCATCCAAATAACAGCATTCCTACTACTGTATTACTACTTTACTAAGCATGGAGGTGGTGATATCCTGTTATGGGTCTTTTTTCTCCTCTCTTTAATTATCTTAAACATGATGGTGACAGAAAACAGACCTCCATCTTGTCAGGACAGGTCTCATTAGAGGGCACGATACTTACGGGAGATGGTGTGGTGTTGGAGGCCTTGATCAGGTTAAAACCTTAAAATTAATTTAGATTTCGGAATTTAACGTTCAAGATTGAATCTCAAAATAATAAGTGATGGGAAGTTATTTTCGAAGTCCTATTCTCAGGAAACAGTGCCTGAAAATCTCAGCATTGATTTGAAAATCAAATTGTATTTTCCCACCTTAGGCCTAAATTACCACGGCTGTGACTGCCATATATATAAATGCATTATATTATATTATATTATATTATATTATATTATATTATATTATATTATATTATATTATAGT